GAGTGGAAGACTCTTTATCTATCTTACATTGCTTACAAGAAAACAAGTTAAACGTAGTGTATATGTTACACTCTTTGCCATTTCCCCAAAATCAGAAAATGGCAAAACTACAATAAATCACAAAAAAAATACAAAAGTGAGCAAGTGTGTGTGCGTGTGTATGTATAATCAAAAGATCACCCCAATCAAAACCACATCAAACCTTGGAAACTGTGATCTCTGTAAAAAAAGACTGATTTGCTTCTTCTTCTTCTTACGTGATTCAATGAACTGCGGTTGCGAAAGAGTCAAAACGGAAAACTCAGATGGCCTTTTCCATTATAAACAACAGAGAATTTATCACTACTAACGAAGACGAGGGATTTAGAGCCCTTTTGTATTGATTTTAACTGAATTTTTTACATGCATCATGACTAACTCTAGTGACTAATCACTCACTAACTTGTAATTTAACTTGTGTAGAATGTGCCACAACCACAAGTGTTTGTAAGTTCCCGAGGTCCGTAACAAGTTCTCCAGCTCTCTCAAAGCCGCCTTGAAGAGAAATGGGATGAATGTATTTATTTATAGATGATGGGGATGTTACTAGAAAAGACGAACTAAATGGCTTTGAGTTTAGATACTTACGTGGCAATATGATTCGAGATTCAAGCCATTTTCGTGTCTAAACATGAGATAATCACAGAATCCATGATAATAAAAGCAAAAACTAATCCAAGAACTAAATTATTAATGATTTAAAAAGTGGTCATACAAACAATATCATAAAAAAAAAGAGTGGAAGACTCTTCTATCTATCTTACATTGCTTACGAGAAACTAGTTAAACGTAGTGTATATGTTACACTCTTTGCCATTTCCCAAAATCAGAAAATGGCAAACTTACAATAAATCACAAAATAAAAAAGAGGAAAAAAATACAAAAGTGAGCAAGTGTGTGTGCGTGTGTATGTATAGAATCAAAAGATCACTCAACCAAAACCACATCAAATCTTGAAACTGAAGACTCTGTGATCTCTGTAAAGAAGACTGACTTTG